CTGGTGAATATAATAGACATTATTCTAGACTGCTGGTGTGAGTAGAATTTAGTACAAGTCTAAGAGGAAGCAATATATCAATACGTAGTTTTCAAAAGTGTGATTCTGAGCCTAAATACATATTTCTGGTAGGAAATAGAAAAGTCTTAAAGTTGTCTGTCTTTACCTGGTGAAATCATTGGTGATTTCTCCCCCTTTTTTCTGTATTTTATAAATTTTTAATGAAAGAAAGAGACCTAGTTTCTAGCAATCACAACTTGTATGATTGTAGGCAAGTAACTCTGAGTAATGTTTTTATCTGTAAAATAAGGCAATGGTGTTTTTAACCCTTAGGGGCTCATTATTTTGTGGAATGTCTAATGTAAACTATGGACTATGCAGAAAAATAGATATGCTTACAAATACACAGGATGTTGTGTGCAATTTCAGTGTTTTCACAGAACCTCTGAATCCCATGCATGGATCCCAGGTTATCTTAAAGGATAATTCCAAGTCTAACGAAGTGCACTTCAAATCCTATGGGGGACAGAGTCTCCCCACCCCCATTAGAAGAACTAAAGAGACCATCAGTCTAGTCATCGTATCTATAGCTATGGCAGATGCTGCAAACTATAAAAATATTATTTGTAGGATTAGTACTCTAAATTGTATTTCAAATTTCAATATGTTCATTAGGCTCCTTTTCTAGTTGAAGGGAACAGAAAAGCTCACTCTCTTTTTTTTTTTTTTTTAAGATTTTATTTATTTATTTGACAGAGAGAGAGAGAGCACAAGCAGGGGGGGCGGCAGGCAGAGGGAGACACAGGCTCCCTGAGGAGCAAGGAGCCCTATGCGGGGCTCGATCCCAGAACCCCAGGATCATGACCTGAGCCAATGGCAGTCGCCCAACCAACTGAGCCACCCAGGTGCCCCAGGATATTGTAGCTATGTTTTATGTTTATGTTTGCTTCCAAATAAACTTCAAAATCTACTTGAATAGCTCCGAAAAACAACTTTATGCTATTTTTATTGGGATAATATTAAATTTATTATTAAGATGCGAATAAATGATAGCTTTATAATGTTTACTCCTGCTATCCAAAAAACAAAATAAACAAGATCCCCAAATTTATTCAAATTTACTTTTGTATCTTTCAAAGGTATTTTAATTTTTCCTCACACACCTTTAACACACTTCCTGCTAAGTTTATTCTTAAATAAATCCTGCTTTTGCTACTAGTGGAACAGAAGATTTATCTTGTGGTATCATCTAACTAGCTATTGTTTATGTACATAAAGACTTCTGGTTTTTGTTTTTAATTTAACATTCCGTCACTTTACAGAATCATTTTTCATTATGTTAGTGTTTTTATTGATTCTCTTGGATTGCCCAAATACACTACAATATCATCTGTAAATATAGTTTCACTTCTTCTATTCCAATTCTTATGGCTCCATTGTTTATTGTAATTTGATTGCATTGGCTAGCACCTCTAAACCATAAGAGACTCTGAATCATACAAAACAAACTGAGGGTTGCTGGAGGGGAGGGGGTAACTGGGTGATGGACATTAAGGAGAGCATGTGATATAATGAGCACCTGTCATCACAGGCCTGTACCTCTGAAACCAATAATACATTATATGTTAATTAATTGAATTTAAATAAAAAATATTTTAAAAATAATAATTTATTTTGTAGTGGAGTTAGTATCTTTGCCTCGTTCTTGGCCTTACTGTGAATGCTTCTAACATCCTCCATCAAGAAATATACTGGCTTTAGGACTGCAATGTGTGTGTTTGTGTGTATGTTGTTATAGATACATATTATTACCAAAGAAGAAATAATCATTTCCTATTTTATTCAGTGTTAATCAGGAATGGTTGTTAACCTTTGTCGAAGGCCATTTCAGCATCTATGAAGATGATTCTACAATTTTCTACTTAGATTTACAAACATGGTAAATTATGTGAGTGGATTATCTGATATTGAACCACCCTTACATTTTTGGAATAAACATTACTTGTTCATAATGTATGTTATTTTACATTTTTACTTTTATAGTCCTAAGTAAGATTGAGCTGTAGTTTATTTTTTGTACTATATTCATAAGGTTTAGATGACAATGTAATTTTTGTTTCATAAAAGTATCTGTGCCTTTTTTTTTCTATACTCAGAAATAATTTAAGTAGCATTAGGAGTATATGATCTTTGGAGTTATAGAATTCCTCTATGGGAATTCTGGGTCTAGTCCTTTTATAATAACTTTCTCTATTCTACGAAAACTGGAAACCCTTATGTGATTTTGCAGAGCAGAATGCTCCCATTACCCTTCACTACAGAGCAAATATATGTATATTCTTCAAGGTCTAGCTCATATATCATATCACCACTCCATCCCCTACTGTAGGACAGAATCAATCCTTTCTTATTTCTTCAGCCCCCATAGCATTGTGCATATTTCTTACACGTCTGATCACATTGTTTGTAGCATACCTATCTATAGAGGTTTCCCTTTCAAAGAGAGAGACATGGATTTAATCATGTTTAATTCTCCAGCCTCAAAACTATTGCTTAGTTCTTGATAAGCAGGCAATAAATATATTTTGAATAATGATGAGTGAAGAGAAGTAAAAATAATAATAAAATTTCACTTCAGTATGAACCATAGTCTATTTGTAAAACAGGTAGACTCCAGGGTCAGATACACTAGGGTTTCTTTCCCAGTTTCTCACTGGCAAGTCTATGACCTTGGTCAATTATTCTGTGTTTTGTTTTACTCATCTATAAAAATAGAGGTAAAATCTCATGGGGGTTTTGTATTCAGAACATGTGTAAAACCCCTAGCATTAAGTACTTTATGTACTCAACAGATAATAACTTGCCCTATTACTCCCCATGTGAAAGCTTACTTTGTAGTTCTTTGGGCAACTCCAGAGAAATCATGAAATATGGCTCTCTCACTTGTAGGACCACAGTGCACAATCCAGCCTTCTGATAGTGGTTCCCTCCAAAAGTGTCTGTATGGATGAAATTCTCTAGTTCATGGCAACAACCACATGCAGGACTGCAGTGTGTCTTTGTGATTTTTTAAATTCAACATTTGTTTTACAATTGTAACTTTGCATTAGTTCAATGTAGTTATGAAATGTGTATCCTACTGGAGTTCTGAACAACAATACATTGTATTCTGAACAACAGTTTAGCAGTCCTCATACCTGGGCTTTCTTCCCAGTTCCTGTGCTATTTCCCCAGCAGCAAATTAATTAAATGGCCTTTGGCCATGGCTCTTTCCCTTGAGTCAGCTTTTCTCTCATTTAAAGTATAGAGACAGGGGGGATTTAATTAGCCCAATGCCTGGCACATTGCATACACTCAATAAATGTTTGTTAAGCCTTGGAATTCTCTTTGGATAAAGGTCACGTTTGCTATTACTATTAATTTATGAGCATCTGAACAGTTTCTGTGATGATGATATTGACAATGAAAAAGGACTTAAGGAAAGTTAACTCATAACTTACACGGATGTATCATGAGACCAGATTTTCAACAACTCACCTATTTTGAACGTATTCACTATTGGCCTAATGTTCTATGGTTGTGATTCTACACAAAAAGCTCTGGGATTTTTTTTTTTTTTTTTTAAAGATTTTATTTATTTATTTGACAGAGAGATAGCGAGAGCAGAAACACAAGCAGGGGGAGTGGGAGAGGGAGAAGCAGGCTTCCCGCCGAGCAGGGAGCCCGATGTGGGACTCGATCCCAGGACCCAGGGATCATGACCTGAGCCGAAGGCAGACGCTTAACGACTGAGCCACCCAGGCGCCCAAGCTCTGGGATTCTAAAAAAGTGAAGACCTACAGCAATTACCTGAATATTTACACTAGAAGGAGAGAGAGAGAGAGAGAGAGAGTGTGTGTGTGTGTGTAAGCCCAAACTAAATATAGAGTCTCCATTCTTTATGTAAGCTACTTAAGGAAAAGGATATTACCTTTTAATTTTTTTCTCTCCAGTAAAAGTTATTATTGCTCGTTCAATCCCCAAACTATATATAAATTATGAATAGTTTAAAAGCTCTTAAAAATAAGTTTTTAAAAAATATTTTCCCTGAAATAATGTTTTCACTGACCTAGAAAATTTTTCTTAGCTGTTGCCATACTTAACATTTCTAACTGATGATGTATGTTGTGATGATGGCAGTGAGCAGAAAAATCTTGAGGAAACATGCACAGTGCTGATATTTTATTAAAACGAATGGAGCACTAATTCATAAAACATAATTTAATTTTTAAGTAAAAATCTGACTTGCCAGAGTGTCATTCCCTTAAGGCTAGATCTTTATAGGCCCAAAGCCTGTGTGAATTTACACAGCTGCTTTGAGGCTTTGCATACTTCCTTGTTTTAGGTGCTTTGATTTTTTTTTTTAAGGGGTATTTTTATACTGAAATAAAACATAACTATTAACACTAGCCTCAAGGGAAAAAGAAACTAACAAACGACCAGCTTCAAGTGTTCCAATACTTTTCCTTTAAAATCTTGCACATCTTTTAGAAGTTGGAAAAATTAAAGCCATCCCCTGCCCCCAAAAGAGGAAGGACAAACTGTCATGAGTTCAGAACCCCAGAGCAGAGGTGCAGGTGTTGATACTAGAAGGTTTGCCTGTGAGTGAGAGCGTCTCTCCTAAATGACCATTATCTGAATGCTTTAGAATCTTTTCTTGGGCACGGGTGTCTCTAGACTGCCACCCTCACCCCAGGACGCAAGGAGTACTGCAGAACGTTCTCTGCATTAGCTCCCAGCCAAAAGTGAAACAAGTTGCCTACTGACCGAGAGGCCATTTATAGAACAGATTTGCTTACACAAGTGCGAGGCAGTAACTGAAAGCCAATGCAAAGAAGTCATTCCTCTTTACCTTGCTCGGAGCGACTCTGGTCTGGAGAGCCATGGCCGCATCCTCTGTCAGAGAGGTGGCGAAAGACACGCTCTTTCTACTGACGACATCTGGAAGAAGAGACACTTGCCGCGGTGAGCTTTTCAATTACTCCCGAAGACGAAGTGTGAGACACAGGCGTGCAGGATGATCGGATTACACAGAACGAGCCAGAAGCCATCTGCGCGCCACACGTAAGCTGCTGAGTGCCGGGAGAGCACCCTTCGGAGACGACCGAGTTCTCGTTCCAGTCGTAGTTTGGTCAAGTTTGAAGGATGACTTGCTTGTTTTTAGACAGCACTGCAAATAGGCAGGGATTTGAAATTCTCCCTGGCTGTATGAGTAATTATTGTCTCCTACTTAAATTAGAAACATGGATTTTCAGTTAGGACGTCCCGAGATGGTCTCCAAAGGATGCTACTGGCATTCATGTTGAAGCGTGGCCGGTTCCCTCCTTCACTCGCTGGGGCCTTGGCCTCTTGATGGAAGAAATCCGTTCCCATCGGGACACAGCAATATACGAGTTCTGGCTTGGGGTTGGGACGGAGAGTGATACTCATGCTCTAAGATAAAGGCCTGCATACAGTCAGTGAAATGTTTTTAAGAATTGCCAGGGGGCGCCTGGGTGGCTCAGTTGGTCAAGCGACTGCCTTCGGCTCAGGTCATGATCCCAGGGTCCTGGGATCGAGTCCCACATCGGGCTCCCGGCTCAGCAGGGAGCCTGCTTCTCTCTCTGACCCTCTCCTCTCTCATGCTGTTTCTCTCTCGCTCGCTCTCTAATAAATAAATTAAAAAAAAAAAAATCTTGGGGCGCCTGGGTGGCTCAGTTGGTTAAGCGACTGCCTTCGGCTCAGGTCATGATCCCAGGGTCCTGGGATCGAGCCCCGCATCGGGCTCCCTGCTCGGCGGGAAGCCTGCTTCTCTCTCTCCCACTTACCCTGCTTGTGTTCTCTCTCTGGCTGTCTCTCCCTGTCAAATAAATAAATAAAATCTTAAAAAAAAAAAAAAAAAGAATTGCCAGGCGCTCTGTCTCTCTCTATGCCCCGAGGCTCCAGAACCAGTCCTTCACTTACACATTTAACCATCACCGCATCTTTTGACTGGCACCAGCTTCCAACTTGTAGATGGAAATTTACTTGTTTTGGGGGGGTCCCCCTTTTCCTAGTATAGCACCTTCTTCACCTTTTCTTGATCAATCACATTCTGCAATACATACCCCCATACAGAAGAGCATGGGCTCTGGTAAAAGGGAAAAGATTGTCTTAGCAAGCCCAGGGTTTGGTATCTTTCTTCTGGAAATGTTTTTAAATTTGACTTTCATAATGCATATTACTAATATTATCAGTGCTCTTGTACTAATAGACCTTGAATAATTCCTTTAGTCTGTGGTTGCCCTGCATGTCTGTTTGCATTGTGAGTTCTTGCAGAGGAAAGGCCCTTTTGCCTGCCAGTAGCTTTGTACTAGTTCCCAGGGGCTGCTTTCAGATTTTGGCACATGGGGAACCCTCAGTCAGTGTTTGACTCTGCCAGTCCTGTGCTTTGCCCTGTTTGTGCCAGCAATGAGCTAGCCTTTCTCCCAAGAAAAGCCCAGGGAGTGCTTCCTGGGAGTCACAGCCCAGTGCCGAGCAAAAGACCTGTGCCCCCAACACTTTCAGAGTGTTTTGTATACAACTCCTCTCCCATCAGAATTATTCAGTTCTGTAGTAATCACACCAAACCTATCCTCCCACAAAGTTGGCATCATGCATTGGGAGCCAACACTCATTTCAGTAATAACCACTCCACCAGATAAAATATTGAAAAGTACCAATCTTCTATAATGACACTAGGAAAAGTAGGTGGCTGATGAAAGATCTTGTGTGGAGATGGTGTGTATGTGTGTGTGTAGTTACATCTACAACAATAAATATCTTTTATTTGAACGACTACTATGATCTCTTGTGAGCAGACAGTATGATATAGAAACACACACACAGTCAATATTTATAAATCTGTTTTCCAAGTTTGCCATTACATGGATAAGATACACCCACGTGTACATATTATAAGTACATGTGAATGTGCATTCCTTTTCATTCGGCACATCCACACGGAAGTTAAGGAATAAAATGTGGAAATCTCTTCACATTCTTGTATTCTGACTTGTGCCCCTTAGCACCATGTTTTAAAGTATTTTCAGTCCCTTTGTGTAACTTGTATTCCGAGTTCTTTGTTGAAACAACGACTTAGTGATTTCCTTCATAGTAGAGACATTTGGAAATGTCAAGGTATTAAGTAGATATTTTCGAGACAATAGTACATAATTGAGAACTGCTTTCTGATAAAGTTAGGGGAGAAAAATGTGTTCAGGTCCACGATCCTATATCTTCCAGGCCAGATATGTTTCCAAATTCAGAGAATTTAAAATTTTAAACAGATAATAGGATCCATATAATATATTACATCATATGCCCAAGCGGTCTGGAACTTCATTCTGGGTTCAAACACATTGTTTGAGAAGCTCAATGTATGAATATTCACCCCGTGTGGGATAAACAAAAACTAAATAATTTTACGTCGGCTTACGTCAGGTTTTGACACCAAATTAGTTCAGCTCAGGTAATAATCTACCACCCTAAGAGTTCTAAAAACAGTTTTCAGAGCTTTTAGATTTAGGGTTCATAGATAGCAAATTGTGGACAAGTACCAATTTAACCATAAGAATCTAAAGACTGAGGGGCACCTGTCTGGCTCAGTCAGTAGACTATGTGACTCTTGATTTCAGGGTCATGAGTTCCAGCCCCACATTGGGTGTAGAGATTACTTAAAAATAAAATCTTCAAAAAACAAAAAATCCAAAGACTGCTGTTGATGACAGAACTCCAAATACAAATGATGAAGCTGAAGATGTTGCTTTAACACCGTCACAGTACCCATAAGAAGTAAAAAAGTATAATTCCTTTGCTCCCAGTGCCAGAATTAAATGAAACCGGTTCCTACTAATGCTTCCTGCTCCTTCTATTATAGCCGGCTTGGCTTTGGAAGCCTGGTGCTGTGTATTTTTAGTTTGACTGATTTTCTCTAACCCATTTCTCCCTTTCACGGCCTTCTACCACATCTGTTGTTCAGTGCGTTCTTGAAATTAAAATAAAGTACTCTATAGGATATCACTAAATCATAAAAACATATTCAGAACAAACAGGCTCTATTTTATTTCAGGGAGCCATGGGAATACCAATCAGAGTTGAGGTAAATTTCTTTCTGTTTATAGCCTTCATAGAGTTTCCTTAAGTTTGGGCCCATGGTAAAGAGAAGATATATGGATACACACGTAAGTACACACTGATTTCATTGTTTCAGATTTACTAGGTAATAAACTGTGTCTTGAAAGGTAAAGTCACAATAAGGGACAGTGCCTCTAAACAGTTACGGCACAGAATCCAAAAACAATTGGCTTGGCCAAGTAGTTGTGGGTTTGGACAGTTATGTCCATACTCCCTCCCATAGACCTAAGTCAGGGCTACTAGTAACTGTAAATGTGGACACATGAGTTTCACTATCTCACTTCCCTACTTTTAAGTGGTTGACCACAGATCTGGGCCTAAAAGGACAGTAAAGAGTAAAAGAACATTGGGAGGATGTAGGGAAAACATCTGGAGGGAAGATACATTGTATCAACTTGAAATAATGCCTGGGAAAGACACCTACAACTTAGGGCAAATTCAATACAGTCATCACAGAGTTAAAATAAATGTTGAATGATAAACTTAGGGTCCTGAGTCAAAGAATGTGAATTGGATTTACAGCAGGAAGAGGCTCTGGAGCAGAGAGAAGGAGAGGGTGGGCATTCCAAACAAGAGAAACGGAAAATACAGAGGAAGTGAAACAAGCCAATGAGAGCAGCTTTGCTCGAAAGGTCCGAGCCTGAGGCCACCGAGGAATGTGGATTGCTGGAGGCCTCAAAGGATGAGCCAGATTATTGTATTTTGGTTCAAAATGAAATAGCGCTGTTCTGGAGCAACGCCGTGGCAGATAAAGTCGGCACAGAAGGAAAATTATTCTAATAGCCGTGTGGAATCAGAGACTTGCAGAGAGGATAATGGTTGGTTTATAGGAAAAGGCCTGGGATTTGAGTTTGTGTGGACCCACAATATGTGAGGAGGATTCGATTTCTAAACACACCTTGGTGACAAAATGGGCTATCTTTGTGAGAGGGGCTGAAGAAGAAGGCAAAACGAAGAAGAGGAAAAATGGCTTCACAATTCTGACAACAAACAAAAATGGTTGCGATGCTGTTGATAAGGCTGCTGAGTGAAATAAGTCAAGCAGAGAAAGACAATTATCATACGGTTTCACTCATATGCGGAACATAAGGAATAGCGCGGAGGACCACAGGGGAAGGGAGGGAAAACCGAATGGGAAGAAATCAGAGAGGGAGACGAACCATGAGAGACTGTGGACTCTGGAAACCAAACTGAGGGTTACAGAGGGGAGGGGGGTGGGAGGATGGAGGGACCAGGTGTGGGGATGAGCACTGGGTGTTATACGCAACTAAGGAATCGTTGAACACTACAACAAAAACTTATGCTGGCTAACTGAACATAATAATAATAATAATAATAAAAGAACAGTGAGGTTAAGGAAATAGGAAATTAGAAGTAACCTGGTGGAGTCAAGACGTGAAGTTTCAGGGCCCGGGCTCGCTCCAGGGGGTGTCAGAGTCACCTGAAGGGCTTGTTGAAGTACAGATGCAGGACGCCGCCCTCAGAGTTTCCCATCCAGTAGGTCTGGGATGGGCCCAGTGCTTGCATTTCTGGGTACCATGTTTTGAGAACCATTACTTTAAATCATGTACTCAGGGGCACCTGGGTGGCTCAGTGGGTTAAGCAGTGGACTCTTGATTCTGGCTCAGGTCGTGATCTGTGTCCTGAGATGGGACTCAGTGGGGAGTCTGCTGGAGATTCTCTCCCTCTTCCTCTGCTCCTCCGCCTGCTGTGTGCTCTCCCACGCTCTAAAATAAATAGATAAATCTTTTAAAAAATCAACCAATTAACCAATCAATCAATCATGTACTCAAAGGCAGTGATGGTGGAGGCGAGGATGGAGAGCCGGGGCCAAGGGCATAAATGTGGGAATTATCCACACCCAGGTCACTGGTGAAACTATGTTGTGGGGACTTCTGATTTACAGCACCTTCCATCA